GAGTTTACCATCGGCAACACGTCCCAACTGTGGCACGGCCATTTCGCCTGGTGACTGCACAGTACATCAACGTGATCACGGTGTCGGGGACGACAGGTTGGCGAGCTTCAGTGGTGTCGGCTCAGCTATGAATAGCCCGAGTGATGTATAGTTTCACTGCTCAGGTCGATAGGTATGTACTATAACGGTGTCGGGGACGACAGGTTGGCGAGCTTCAGTGGTGTTGGCTCAGCTATGAATAGCCCGAGTGATACTGCTCAGGTCGATAGGTATGTACTATCCATCACAGAATTATAAAATAGTTTTCCAAATGAATATATTTAATTAGCTGGAATAAGTATATAATATATTTTCTGTGGGACAAAGAATTAATAATTCATTAGTGAAAAAAAGTCGGACAGGATATACAGGAACGAAGTGATCGTCGGACCGTTTGTCCGACTTTCTTGTTCGTTGTAATATTTATTATATACAAAAGCGAAGTCAATACCAGACGTGAGAAATTGACAGAAGAAAGTCGGACCGAATGTCCTGTATCCATTGATTGGTTAAAAGTGCAATCAATGACCATGGCAGATGAACAGCATAATGATGAAGTTTTGCCTGCAACCCGCCAGCTAGCAACGACAATACAGTACAGTACCTTAGAGCCTGGTACTACTGGAGGTGTGGAGCATCCGTCAGGGGGATCCTCCCTCTGGCGGATGCTCCACACCACCTGGCTGTGGTAGTAGTGGTTGGTCTTGCTCTGGTGGTCGTAGGATGAACAGTAGTGTTTTTGCTGTGTGGTGGGTGTGGCTGTGGTAGTAGTGGTTGGTTAGTACTCCTGGAGGTGTGGAGCACCAGTAGTATCAGGCTCTAAGGTACTGTACTGTATTGTCGTTGCTAGAAGGCTGTACAAGATCAAGTTGCGGAACTTTACCAAGAATCAAGGCAATATCTTGTGTGAGTGGAAGTTCACGGTGCAGGAGCTCCAAAACGTTTATAACAGCACGATTGGCACTGGTTTGGGTCGTCCCTACACCTCGGCCACGGCTATAGCTGCATTGCATTTGGCATATAATGGCCAATTTGCCATCATCCTGGTTTCACTGAACTTGGACGTCAGCTTCGTATGTTCCAAATGAAGATGGTCACATTTGCACGGCTGGCTAGAAAACGTAGACG